CTACGCAGATTTAGGTTATATGGTGGGATATCGGATGGAGCGACATTCAGGCTTTTACGCGAAAGGGTGAAAAAGGTTGAGAGTGAATGTTATGCGAATTATATCGCTTCTACTGAAGCATCTATCGGGAGAAACCCTAAGTCTTTCTGGTCATTTGTAAAGCACAGATCTAAATCTACCTCAATCCCCAGTTATTTTAAACACAAGGATGTATCGATTTCCTCGCCCGAAGAAATTTGCAATGCCTTTAGCTTGCATTTTTATTCCAACTTTCTTGCTCCGACTGGTGTTGATTCCGACGTTACTCCTGAATGTCCTAATTCCATATTGGATACTTTGTCTAATATTGGCGCGATTGAGATAGATGTCGAACGTGTCAAAAAATTATTAACCAATCTTGATTCAAGCAAATCGGCTGGTCCTGATGATTTGTCCCCCCAGTTTTTGATAGGCTGTGCAAAAACTATCGCTGTGCCCGTTACTATGCTGTTTGAGAGATCTTTGACTGAATCTGTCGTTCCTCAGATTTGGAAGTCAGCCTATATAACACCAGTGCATAAGAAGGGTTCAAAGAATGAAGTAGCTAACTATAGGCCAATATCCAAACTTTGCATATTGGCAAAGGTTTTTGAGAGAATCGTGTATGATCAGGTTTACGCTGCGGTTAGGAGCTCGTTTAGTCCCACGCAACATGGTTTCCTGAAGGGTCGCTCCACAGTATCGAACTTGATCTTACTAAATGACTACTTGACTGACAGTATGGATGGTGGGGCACAGGTTGATGTCATTTATACCGACTATAGCAAAGCCTTCGACAGAATTGACCATAATATCCTTAAAACTAAGCTATATCGTATTGGTATATGCGGTGACTTACTCAGATGGTTTGCATCCTACCTAGAAAACAGGTCTCAATCTGTCGTAGTCAATAACTACATATCTAGCTGGGTCAAGATTCCAAGCGGTGTTCCGCAGGGATCTCTAATTGGCCCCCTACTTTTCATCTTATACGTGAATGACATTGACCTCTGCTTCCATAGCTCTAATCTTCTTATTTTTGCCGACGACATGAAGATTTACTCCAAAATAACATCGGTGGAGGACATGCTGGCTCTCCAGGATGACTTAAAGCGCCTGGATGAGTATTGCCAGTTGAATAAACTTGACCTGAATCCCGCAAAATGCTCAGTGATTACTTTTAGTAGAAAGCGGTTCCCGATGATTCATCCATACGAGCTGAAGGGTCAGGTTCTGCAAAGGTGTGACGGAGTGCGAGATCTTGGTGTTTATCATGATGCAAGACTTCGGTTCGATATCCATATTGATCAAATAATAGCTAAGGCTTCGAAAGCGCTCGGTTTTGTCATGAGAATATCTGGGTGTTTTAAACAGGCAAAGACATTCAAGATTTTATACTGCACATTTGTAAGAAGTAGCCTCGAATATGCGTCTCAGATATGGAACCCATATTATCATAATTATATCGATCGAATTGAAAACATCCAGAAGCGGTTTGTAAAATCTTTATGTTATCGCTTGAAAATTGACTATCACAGTGCTGACTATCTAAATCTTTGCAAGAGATTTCACTTGCAACCCCTTGTAAACAGGCGTAGATTGGCGGATTTTTCATTCATGTTAAAAATACTATCTAATGACATTGACTGCCCTAAAATACTGCAAAGACTTCATTTTAATGTTCCCCGTAAGTCATTTAGGTTCAGTGTACCGATATCGATACCTACTTCCTCAACCAACTATCGGAGTAATTCGTATATTGTGCGAGCGAGCAATGATTTCAATAAACTGTGCAAAGAGTTTTCATTCGACCCATTTAACACAAAACTTACTGTGGCACGCAGGCAGCTGAACCTTGATTTCTTTAATTCATAGTGGGTACCTATATGGTACTTAATCATTGGAGTAATTTGTGCATCATTATAGACTGCCTGTGGTTTAATGAGTTTAATGAGTAATTTTAGTACTGTGTTAGCATGTTTCTACTTTCTGTTACTAATCGTGGAAACCAGTAATTGGCTTCTTGTTGCATACCACATTCTTTTTAATCAAATTGTATAGCTGTTGGTTTTCCAAATGTATAAATAAATAAATAAATAAATAAATAAATGCCTAAATAAAATGCCTTCTCCGTGTGAGAAGATGCTGTGCTCAGCACTCGGTATTTATAGGCTATAGGCTGGGTATATGTATATAAAGTAAGGTAATAATAATTACAATAGACGGATTAGTTGGATTATAATGATCACGAGAACATTATTTATTTAATTTATTAACATATTATGACAATGATTATAACAATATAATGATAATGAAATGTAAAATAATAATATTGACAGTGCATGACCCTATATTTTTAATTTAACTGACTGACGATATTGTAAACGATGTTGACAAAATCGTAAACTGTTTTTTGTGAAGTGAGATTAAAATAATGAGACTATGCAGAACTTAAACTACGACGGCCACTACAGAAAGAACTTGCGCGGTTCTCACACATAATCTTTTATACACATTTGTCTGGATTTTAAAAGAGACGGACCTCTTAGTTTGTTTCGGCATTTCTTCTCAGAGTAGTCAGTTAGGAAATGTCGGCCTCATCGTTCGCTTAGTAAAATTGACGTGTAAAAGTGCTGCCTTGTAGCCTATTTGCAGAAATAAATTCACTTGTTTCATCGAAGATTTCGTGTCGCGGTTTTCGCGGCTAGTGAACTTTCGCTGCTTGGACGCCGCTGGCAACGCGCATCTTGCGCATGCGTATTGTTGTTCGGGAAAGATCGCGAAGGTTCGTGAAGGTTCGTGCGACCGAAAATCGGCGCAGATGCGGCGTGCGCGCATGCGCGAGCGAAGCCTAGCTCGGTAATGTTCGGCTATATTCGGACTACTTACCTTAACACTACTGGCTCTCGCGTTACGCTATTGAAATATTACCAGACTATTTAAAGATTTAACTGAAAAATTAATATACCTACTTAATAATTGGTAAATTAATTTAATTTATTATTACGCCGTTGATCGCAAGACATAGCTGGTCAATATAAAGCTTGCACCATCTTTGCACCACCTATGATCTACAAATAAAGTAATTTTAATTTGAATTTGCACTCATTTTAGAGGTAACTAAATGGCCGTTTATACGACATACGTTATCAATTAATAAAATACTTAAATCAGAAAATATTTATTAAGAAATAAAGAAGTTAAGACGCTAGTGGATCTGTTTTTTTGCTTCTAAGTGCAGTTGTTTAACCCGGCTTCACGTGGATGGTTATTTTAGGTAATATTATGGACCCGGGTTCTAAAACTACATGCACTTACCAGGACATCAGTATCCGCTAAACCTTCGGTGATATTACTGCAATCCCCAAGCAATTAACCAAATGTGTAGATTAATTAAATTATGGGGGTAGCCCATTAGAGGGGCAGCATCCTCTAACTGAATTTTCGACGATACAACTGCGATCCCCAAACCTCTTGCCAAGTATGGGGATTATGGATTGAAAATAGGTTGTTTTGACAGTTCAGTGCTATCATCAAATCTCTAGGCGTACATCCTTCTCTGCTTACTTCTTAAAAATAATAGGGTTTGGTATTTACATTCCAGAACACGACGTTCAAGTTCAAGTGCAGTTGCCATAGATTGGCCACACTCGCCGGCGTGCCCTTATGTAAACAAGAAGTTAGTATTCTATAGTTCTACAGACTGTAGACACAGTATTACCAGTAAGAGTTATGCTGGCAGTAGAGTAGAGTACATTTATAACCACCATAACTCTTCCCGCGGGTGTCTTATACCCGACTAAGGGACCGTCACCGGCTCTTGATGTAGATAGTAGTAGCCAGCTGCAATTTTATACGAAAAGCCTTGTAACGTAATGTAGAACGTTACTGTGACGCAAATTAAGAAAGTACCTACGCATTTGTATCTTAAATAGCTTAGTTTTTCTTTTATTTTGATAAAACGTTGTCATTCTCCTGTGTCGTGGGTGCGTTTACAAACATACAAGTTCACATACACATGACACACAGACCCGGAACAACAATCTGTGGGTCACACAAGGAGTTGTTCCGTGCGGTAACTAATGAAAACACGAAAGGCTACATTTTTAAGTTGTAGTTAAATATTGTGCCAACTCTGTCATCCCATTTTCAAAGAATTTCTACTGACAGAACTATACTTAATATAGTTATACCTTTAGAGTATTTCGACATAAGAGTAGGTACCTAAATTAACTAAAAATCGTGAATAATCATACACATGAAAATACTGAGAAAAGCTCTACTAGTTTCGAGCCACATAGGGGCTCTTCCTCATAAGCAGCGTGCGCGCTCGCGGCGATATCGTGTAGCCTACTGGCTGTAGAGCTTTTCTCAGTATATTCACGTGGGTAACCAACGATTTTAAGTTAATTTTGTATGTCTCACGATAGTTATTATAAAAACAATAGTAGTACCTCGTTAGAAATTATTTATTTATCGCACAAAGCAGTATCTATTAAAGTATTATAGTTGAATTTTTACCTTAACTCGTCGAGTACCGTCTTTATAGACACAATTATAGAACAATAGGTTGCGGTCACCGGTGACCGCTTGGTGTTTGACAGTTTAATGTTTGGGGAATAATAAGGTGTTAAATTAATATATAAATTGCAGGCACCTCCCACGGAAGAAGGGAAAGAAGCAACCCCTGAGAAGGAAGCGAAAGAAGGAAAAGATAAAAAAGAAGCGACTCCTGAGAAAGAAGGCAAAGAAGGGAAAGAAAAGAAAGAAGATGCTCCCAAACAAATACCCTGTCCTGCTAAAATGACTGTTCCTCAAGCCGTTATGTTCGGTGAGTATTTTTAAAGTGACTAGGGGTCATGATTTTCTGCCACTCTCCCCTTCCTTGTCACAGCTAGTCGCATTAGTAAGATCCCTCCCCCTAGTGTGACGTCACATTTTGCGGAATTACGTATGTATAAAAATTATTGAATGAAAACAGCGGTTCCGAAATTAGTTTTATTTCTATTTAAATTACTTAAAACATTATTAACTCGTCGAGTACCGGTTTTGTAGACACAATTATAGAACAATAGGTTGCGGTCACCGGTGACCGCTTGGTGTTTGACAGTTTAATACGAAATAAAACAAAATATAAAACATTAATACAATTATATTTCGTGTTTTATAATTGTTTTTGAAATATGACATCACAAAGTTTAGGATCCCTCCCTCCCCCCTTGTCACACAATGTCACACTTCGTCGACCCCCTCCCTACCCCTTAACGTGTGACGAAATTTATGGACGGCCCCCCTAGCTACTTCCACGCGGTTCCACCCGCTCAGCTCGGCACCTATTTATCGTGGCAGGATATTTTTAACCGACTTCAGAAAAAGAAGGAGTATCTTAGTTTGACCTGTATGAATGTATGTATGCGCGATTATCTAGCGATTGACTGAACCGATTTTGATATGGTTTACAAAAAAGTGTTTCTCATACTTAGGAGAAAGTTTTAAGTATGTTTTTATAATAACTATCGTGAGACATATTAACTCGTCGAGTACCGTCATTATAGACACAATTATAGAACAATAGGTTGCGGTCACCGGTGACCGCATCCTATGTGTACCGTATCCATGTTTGACAGTCTAAATTAACTAACAATCGCGGGTTAATTACGTGAATATACTGAGAAAAGCTCTACTAGTTTCGAGCCACAGAGGGGCTCTTGAACATGAGCAACATGTGCGGTTGCGGTGATGTCGCGCAGCCTGGCTAGCTGACTGGCCCTACGGCCAGCTAAAAATCGCTTTTTAGTTAACTTACTTAGTACCAGTATTTTAATTTCTAAGGTTTTATGCTGGAATACTGAAACGTTACTCAATTTTAAGTCGTGCTTAAATATCGTGCCATCTCTGTCATTTTACAAAGAATTTGTAGTGACAGAACTATACTCAAGCGCGACTTAAATTTGAGTAACGTTTCAGTGTTCGGGCATTAGTATATTAATTATTATTAAGCGACTTGAGAAAGATGGGGCTGACGTCGGTTTATTAAAACGTAGTTTATAGAAGAATTGTAATGCCTATAGCCTCCTTTGATGAATGAGCCATCCATTACCAACCGGCGATCTGTTTGCTTGTACGGTCAGCATCAAAAGTTGATGAGCAGTATACGGTGTACTGTGATTTTGAAAATCGAAATGTACGTACGTACGTTACGTAAATCGATCATCGTGACAAGCGCCAAAAATAAATAATTGTCTTGTGTTGCATTTAAAGTGCTTAACATGTTCGCCGATTTACGTATGATATGATGTATGTACATTGATTTAAAAAATCTTAATCTGTTTATTAATTTTTGACGCTCACCGTACCATGAAATAATATTATTATGTTTTGTTTTGTCCTCAGATATTGTATGTGACAATACTGGGTATGAGTTGTTCGCGGATCTATGTCTAGCGCACTTCTTGGTCGCACAGAAGATTGTACAAAAGGTAATTTGTATACTATACTACACTAGCTTTTCGCCTGCGGTTTCGTCCGCGTGGTATTTCGACAAATGTGTCGAATTTTCTTTGTAAAGACAAAACGAGTTATCTAATGGTGTTTACCGTATTTTTTTTTTATGGCCGGTAAACGAGCAGACGGATCACCTGATGGTAAGCAATCGGCGTCACCCATAGACACCCGGAACACCAGAGGCGTTAGAAGTGCGTTACCGGTCTTTTAGGGATTAGGAGTTTGAGGATCGTTGGGGATTCAGGGTTTGGGGAGATTGGGGAAGGGGAAGGTAATTTATGCTCACCAAGTGGTGTTAGTGTGAACTTCTCGTTGTTCGCCCAATGGGAAATTCGCTAGTGTCACAATATTTGACAGTTGCCATGATTAGACAAAAAACCCTTTTCTACATTTGCACCATACATAACATCACGCTTTTACCCCGAAGTGGTAGGCAGAGATGCACATTACGATATTTAATGCCACTGTACAATGTAACATCCACTTTTCACTATTTATGTTACGAGTCCTGTGTTATAGGGGGTGAGTTTGGTGCCATATTATACCGGGCACAATTCCAGACTCCGTGCTACTACCGATTTCCAAAAAAAACCTAGTAGTACTTTGCTTGACTCGGGAATCGAACCCGAGACCCCTTGACTAGCAGTTGCAATTGCGACCACTCGGCTAACGAGGCAGTCAAATTTGCGCCATCTGGTGAAAAAAAAAGTCCCCATTTGATCGAGTTATGCGTGTACAATAATTGGGGTAATTTATTTTTATTTAAGAGTCTCAGATTCGATACACGGGACCGGGAACATATCCCAGGGCGAAGACTTAACGGGTTGCGGGGCTCCGGCTCGAAGTGCAGGAGTAGGAACGGGGTGGTTTTTAGTCAGTAAGAGTCTGACAGTAAGAGTCCTTCCCGCCTCACCCAGGCGGGAGAAGTCATTCGATGATTTTCCCCCTGAAAAAAAGGGCTTAAAATGTCTATAGAAGTCTTTTTAATCTCAGAGTCTAATGAAATAATAATTTTCAGGTGAGATTCCACGTGAAAGACATGCCGTGGTTCATCTCTGATGTCACCGAAAAAGATTTCAGGTACGTTCCATGAAATATAATTTATAGTACAGAATAAAAAATAAAATTATGATTTTTATACTTTATTCCTTATGTAATAATGTCGAAAATCAATTGAAGATAATCTTGTTTTCAGATACGTCGTTAATGCTTGCACTAACAGCAATTTCAGCAAAGAAGCGTCTTCTGGTAAGTGTTTTATTATTAGTGCTTTTATTCGCTTCTCGATTTTCCATGGCTATGAGCCCCTGACGTGGTTCGAAACCACTCGAGTGGACTCGATAAATATTTCAAATTGTCTTACAAGACTTATAATATAAGTATAAGTCTTATATATTTTCTTTCCCCGCGTCGCTGGTTGAGTGGTCGCAAGTGGGGCTGCCGGGGCAAAGGGTCTTCGATTCTCGGGCTGGGCAAAGTATTACAGGATAATTAAAAAAATTCTCAGTAGTAGCACAGAGCCTGAAATTGTGCCCGGTATATGGTAATGGGCTCACCCCCTATTGCATGGGACTTATAACATAAATAGTGAAATATAGGTGTTACATTGTACAGTGGCATTAAGTACCGTAATGTGCGCCTCTGCCTACCCCGTCGGGGATAGAAGGCGTGATGTTATATTATGACTGTTATGTTATAAAATTTATTTTAGGAGCCACGGAAGGTGAGGGAGGTGCAGTAAAAGTTATCAAGGCGGACAACTTGAGGACACTCGGCCAGCAGTGGAACCAGTACCTTACTGATGGAGTCTTCCAGATCATGGTAAGCTCATGTACTGCTAAGCTTTCGCATTCAATTTGTATTTAAAAATATTCAACAGATTTTAGCCTCGATGCCTCGATGGCCAAGTGGTCGCAAGTGCGACTACCGGGCAAGGCGTCTCGGGTTCGATTCCCGGGTCGGGCAACGTATTACTGGTTTAAAAAAAAAATCTCAGTAGTAGCACTGAGTCTGGAAATGTGCCCGGTATATGGCAATAGGCTCACCCCCTATTACATGGGACTCATAACATAAATAGTGAAAAGTGGGTGTTATTTCTGTGTGCACCTCTGCCTACCCCTTCGGGGATAAAAGGCGTGATGGTATGTTATGTCAACAGACTTTAGCTTTTCGCCGATTTTCAATTTTCAATTCCGCCTTATCAAATTTTTTTTAACTTCGTGGAACGTTTCTCGGTGCCGGACGAAATCCAACTAAATTGAATTAGGTACAGAACATTACGCGTCATCTGCGCTTTGCTTGCGCGTATAAAAAAATGCCTTGTGCAATGGGCCTTATAATCTTAATTTAACAAAATAATTCACAGGCCGAAGAATACTGGACATACCCTCACGTGTACAGAGATATGAAGAAGTACGACCCCAACCTGTACCGCAAACTGCAATATGCCGTGGCGATACTGTTTAAGGGAGACTTGAATTATCGCAAGCTGCTCGGAGATCGGAATTGTAACCCTACTACTGGGTTTGAAGCTGCTTTGCAAGGTGAGAACTAGGAAGGAAGGTAGTTTTACAATTCCGAAACGTATATTGCCAGACCACAAATTATTTAGAATAAAAATCAGCCACAGACGATAATGTTGACATTCACAGACAATCTATTAATCTATGTATCTTCTTTATCTTTATATATATATCTAGCTTTTACCCGCGGCTTCGCTCGCGTCACAAAAAGGATAAAAAGTAGCTTATACGACATATACCAATAATTTTGTTTTCCCTCGAGAATATCAAATTTTTCCGGGATAAAAAGTACCCTATTATTTAATCCAGACTTCTAACTTCACATCTGCAAAAATTCAAAGCAATCGGTTTAGTAGTTACGGCGTATAAGTGGAATAAACAAACAAACTCACTTTCCAATTTATAATATTAGTAAGGATTCTTCTGTGAGTGTGTATGTCACTGAACTTCTCTCAAATGACTGGACCGATTTTGATGAATTTTTTTGTGTCTTCAATGGGATCTGGGAATGGTTTAGATTCACAAATCAGGCCGGCAGATGGCGCTGCAGTCGATGTTTAGGTTATTTATCCTAAACAGCTGAACTAATTTAAATGAATTTTTGTTTATACATTCAAGTGGATAATTATGCAGGACAACGTCTGTTGGGTCCGCTAGTATATATATAAAAATGAAACCCATTTCCCGTTGTCACGCCATAACTTGAGAATGGCTGGACCGATTTGGCTGATTTTTTTTGTTGTGTTTGTTATTGTCAGGAGAAGGTTCTTATGACAGAAAAAAAATCCTGAAAATCTTGTGGGAACGGGAGAAAACGAGATTGCGCGTACGCAACGCGGGCAGAAGCAAGTATTATAATAAATGGCCTATGTTCAGTAGTAGACGTCTTGTGGCTGGTATGATGATGAGATTGGAGATTGAGAATTGGGATTTGTGGATTAGGAATTGGGGTAGGAGAATGAATGAGTCTCTTATTATCTCATTTACACGAATCACAAAGAAATCGTTGTTGTTGTTATTTTGTGTAGTATTAATTTTAATTTTATTTATGTCTGTGTAGGCTTCATCCCGGCCCCAATAATAGCGATTCGTACAGTAAAGGCGGAGCTTATCTGTGGACTACCGAAGGGTCGGTGGGACCAACTCACTGCTGCTGATGAGAAGTGGATGCAGACTGGAGATTATGGGTATGTTACTATATATTTACCGAATGTTTGAACCAGATTCAACCTGAAATCTATTTTTTTTTCTTTCTTTGAAAAAGATTGCCCCACCCTACGATTTTCGGAGCCGTGGAGGGCTTAACGGGTTGCGGGGGCTCCGGCTCGAATGGCAGGAGTAGGAACGGAGTAGAACACTCAAGCGGGAGCAGTTATTCGATGATTTTCCCTCCTTAAAAAAAATGATGCCGTATCCACCGGAATATGGAATCCAATTTTGGGATTGCAATCCCAAATTAACAAATACTAAAAATGTTTTAATTTTTAACAATTTAATTCTTTTTGCAGCGTAATTCAGTACTGTCCTAAAGGCGAGGCGCTGAAGGTATCCGACCGTCCCTGCATGGACTACTGTCAAACCTGCTTCGGAGTCATATGTCCTGAACATACTGATATATGATTGTTTGTAAGTATGTTTTACATTACGGCACTTAATGCCACTGTACAATATAACACTTTTCACTATTTATGTTATGAGTCCCATGTAAAAGGGGGTGAGCCTATTGCCATATACTGAGCACAAGACCAGACTCTGTGCTGCTACTGGGAATTAAAAATAACCCAATAATACCCCTTGTCCGGCCAGTCGCACTTGCAACCACTTGGCCAACGAAGCAGCAATTGTGATTAAATGGTATTAAAATATCGAAAGTTCACGTACAAGAATAAATATATTGTATCATATTCTTTCATTCTTTATTTAAAATAGCATTTGATTTTTTATAGCATAAGCCGGCAAACGTACAGACGGATCACCTGATGGTAAGCAATCAGCGCTGCCCATGGACACCAGGAACACCAGCACCAGACGCGTTACAAGAAAGTTATCGGCCTTTTGGGGATTAGGAGTTTGAGGATCGTTGGGGATTCAGGGATTGGGGAGATTGGGGAAGGGGGGAGGGTAATTGGGCCTCCGGTAACCTCAATCACACGACGAAACACAACGCAAGCGTTGCTTCACGTCTGTTTTCTGTGAGGCCGTGGTATCACTCCGGGCGACGTGGCGCATAGCTCTGACTTTATACGAAATTAGGTACTGTGATGTCATAATTTTTATTTAAAGAGCGTTTGATGATATTTTTGTGAATCTATCTTTAGTTTAAATGACATCAAAATCTATCTAGCGATTTTTAAGTGTGAGTGTAATAAAATGAGTAAAGTAGTCTATTTGTGAATAATATTAGCTTTTTCTTTTCAGATGTCGACTGAACTCATTTTTTGTTGTTTATTGTTTAAAAAAATAATGATGTTTTTACACTTTACTTGGTATTTTGGGCACAGTGAGCTTCTACAACACTTTTTATAAATAAATCTAAATGTTATTAACTTGTTATTTCTTATTTACAAATTATCACATTTTAATTAAATGTTTTTTGAATTCCGACATTTATTTGTTGTTTTATTTTATCACTAGCTTATACCCGCGGCATTGCTCGCGCCACAAATGGATAAAAAGCTAATGTGACATATACCAATACACACAGCGCCATCTATACCAATACTTTTGTTGTGTCCCTTCGTCCAGCATACTCACCATGGAATCCTGATATTTCATGAATGTCAAAAAACTGTTCTGAAATAGTGCTAAATAGTGCCCAAAGGAAAAAAATAGTGCTCTTGTACTTGCGAAGTTATAGCCATAGTTCGATGAGTATGCTGGACGAAGGTTTCGCCCAGCATACTCACCTCCGTCCGGAGAATCTGTATACGCTTCAAACATAATTCATACTTCAAAAAATAGTTCCCAAATAGTGCCAAACGGTGCCCAAAAAGAAAAAACAGTGCTCGAATAACTTCGGAGTTATAGGCTTCGTTCAGTGAGTATGCTGGGCGTAGGTTCTACGCCCAGCATACTCACCTCAGTGCGCGAATATCGAACGAGCTATAGGTACAATTTACGTCTCAAAAAATTGTGCTTGAAATAGTGCCCAATATCAGTCCAATTTTTGCTTGACTTTTGACTTAGAAAACCATTAAATTTTAATGTAAACTTCTACATACTAACGTAAAATGGGGTACAGTCGTCGACACATGTTTTTGGACAAAAATATTAAACTTTCTAATTGTAGACTTCATGTTATTGGAAATAATTATGGTATTTTCTCACATGTCAAAAACTTTCGATTAAATGCATTATTATATATTTTATAAATAATAATAAATGAATGAAACTTTAAGCGTAAATGAAGTCTATTACTTCATTGCATTGTGTGTTTGTCTGAATAAAAACAGTCATTTGCAGCCAATAAAATTAATATCTTGAAAAATTGTAAAAAGGAAATTATACAGTTTCTTTTTGTATATATGTTGCAGGCAAAACTTATAACCAGTCAAAACTAGTACTGTGACATAGTTATACAAATTTTTAAAACTCTTTCCAATAGTTTCATCAATGAAAGGTTTAGCAATAAAAAACATTTTTAATTACTTACGTTATTTATTACTATTTAAAGGGCCAAAGTAATCAGAATTCTAGTTAACTAGTTCACAGTTGACCGTACGTGCATCCATTACTGCCACACTATATTGAACTTTATCACATGAGGAATACAGGTCAATTCCGTAAACGTTGTGGTACCGTCCTTGATCCGGAAAATGATTATTTTGAATAATTTTGTCAGTTGTAATGTAAGCATTAATAACAGCAACTTTATTTTTCATGCATGATTTACTTCATTTGATATCTTAATCCTTCAAGCGCCGTGATCTAGACAAAATATATAAAATCATTGTTCCTAGCTACCGGGGTCCCATGCGACGCGCGAAGGCTTAATCATATTATTATAAAGTATTATTAAAATAATGTGTAATTAATAATATTGCGATTCTAAAGTAAATACTCCCTTACATAGACAATTAATAATTTACACAAGACAAAAATTGTTAGAAAGAAAGTTAATAATATTGTATTCGACTGTACTCAATGTAATGTATGTAGAAGTATACAATCAAATTTAATGGTTTTCTAGGTCAAAAGTCAAGCAAAAATTGGACTGATATTGGGCACTATTTCAAGCACAATTTTTTGAGACGTAAATTGTACCTATAGCTCGTTCGATATTCGCGCACTGAGGTGAGTATGCTGGGCGTAGAACCTACGCCTAACGATACGCGAACTATACATCTTCAAAAATTCAAAGCAATCGGTTTAGTAGTTATGGCGTGAAAGCGGAACAAACAAACAAACTCACTTTCCGATTTATAATATTAATATAGTAAGGATAATTAACAGCCTATAAGTGGCCACTGCTGACTAAAGGCCCTTTCTCACACGGAAAAGGTTTGAGCATTAATCACTACGCTTGCTCAATGCGGGTTGGCGATATCAAACTTATAATTAGAAATTATAAGTCCAGGTTTCCTCACGATGTTTTCCTTCACCGTTTGTCAGTGGTGTCTGAATATTCTTAGAAAGTACATATAACTCTGAAAAAGTCACATTGGTACTTGCCGTTGGTAGGTTTCGAACTCGTGCCTTCTTGCATGAAAAGTAAGCGTCTTAATTTTTTATGTTAACTCCATTATGATAACATATTAAATTAATTATGTTTTTATATTACATAACATCACGCCTTTTTCCCCGAAGGGGTAGGCAGAGGTGTACATTATGACACTGTATAATGTAACACCCACTTTTCTCTGTTTATGTTATGAGTCCCATTTAATAGGGGGTGAACCTATAGCCATATACCAGGCACATTTGCAGACTCCGTGCTACTACTGAGAATTTTTAAAATACCCAGTAATACTTTACCGGACCCGGGAATCGAACGAACCTGAGACCACATGCCCGGCAGTCGCACTTGCGACAACTCGGCCAACGAGTAATTATGTTTTATGACTTATTAACATAGCCGTTCGACGAGGTATCTCGACTAGTTTCAAGCCATATTAAGGGCCCTTAGTTCGCGCTCTTTTAAAAACCGAAAAGTTCGAATTTCGGGTTTGGTTACTTTTTTATTAGAGTGCTTTTTAGTATTTGTATTTTAGGGCTAAATTAACCGTTTGGATGCACCGATATGAGACACAATAGAAAAAAATACCTTGTGTCGCGTGGTTCCACGTTTAGACACACGACTGGTTAAAAGCCAGTCGACTATATACCAAATAACAATAAGGCGACCAACTTTCTGAAAGTCCAATGCTGGACTTTTTGTGTTGTTGACTGTTGCCCTATACGGAGCCGCGGAAGGCCTAAGCAGGAGTAGGAACGGGGTGGTTTTTAGTCAGTAAGAGTCTGTTACTGCCTCTCGCCTAATCCAAGGCGGAAGAAGTCATTGGATGATATTCCTCCTACAAAAAAAATGTTGTTCTGTTCTGAACTTTTCTCCTTCTAGCCCTTTAGGACATCATTGTTCACGTTCACACATATAACTTACTTCGTCAAACAAGTTATCTACATTTATTCGCGCTGTTGTTAGTGCGGTGTGGTTGTGTCGTGTAGTAGAGAAATAGGTATGGGGGACTTGCGGGACGCATCTAACGTTTTACGGGACTATTTTATTAATTATTTCAAAGCGGGATTACATCTAGCATTACGGGACGGTCCCGCAGAATACGGGACGGCCGCCTTAAATAAGAAAAAAGTACAGAAAATTATTATAAAATCATTTATTTACAAAATATTGTATTAGGCGAACTAACGTATTAACTCGTCGAGTACCGGTTTTGCAGACACAATTATAGAACAATAGGTTGCGGTCACCGGTGACCGCTTGGTATTTGACAGTTTAAGTAATAGAATTCATATGAATACATATTAATATAAGATAAACATAGAGTGGTTCTTTATATAAAAATAGAGAGTATTTCGTCCATTTACCTATCTATGTAGATATTTTAAATTACTGGCCGTTCAAGTATAAAGAATAAACAGAATTAATATTATTTGAAAAGTATATAGAAGATAGAGTATTTTATATAGATTTTTTTCCTAGCAAACCTACAACTAAATAAGCGTTTTGTACATTAGTCTTTTAATGACTCGTATCCATTAAATACAGCGTAAGTCGTCGTCTAAAACTAATCTCAAAAAATCTTTGTCAAAAATGAAAATATTAAATTTCTTTTCACACATTTATCTTTCTAAGTAATAGCAAAGGTTTCTATAAACAATATACACAAAATGACATATTACGGCACATTTAATAAAAGTAATATTTTCATTTCTGACAGACATAACCAAACATTCCCGCCTAATTTTTGCACAGATAAAATATATCAAATGTCAAATTACATCGCCATAATTCCAGTTTCTATGTTTTATCAGGTCCATGACATTAAAATTATTAATGATTTCTCACTTTTAAAAACAACAATCAAACATCATTAATACAATTTATAGCAGTCTAAAAACATACTATATGTTGGTATTTTTTTAGACTTACGGACCTCATTTCGTTGGTAATAGCCGTTTAGTAAGGTCCACCCTGGCCTTGGTAGCCGTTGCCGTTGCCATTGTAGCCTGACTGGCTATTTCTGTCATAGCCTCCCTGACCGAGACCAGTGTCTTCGTAGGAGATCTTGGGTTTGTAGCCGTCTTGGTCTGCTTCGTATTGGACAGTCTGTGGGTACAAATAAGGCTTTGATATTATTTGAATACTTATCAACTGGTTTTCTTTTAAAATGAGGCTTTGTCCCACACTAGGACTTTCTTCTGTGTCAGTAGGTACATTTAAAAATACATAAATTTCGTATACACATCACATATAAGTCCAGAACAACAATATATGGATTACTCAAAGAATTGTTCTTTGCGGTAATTGGACCAGAGCGACCCGTTTCGCAATAGTTGGTTCTCTAGTCACTGCGCCATGCTTTTCATGGGATATCACTCGATACAACTCTTTTTGACTTCCATTCATTCTTGCTGCATTATTTAATATCTCACCTGTTTCCTGCCATCTGGAAGCAGCACATAGTACAGGCCCTCAGCTCTGTCTCCCTGCCTGGACTCCCTGTGTCCGAAGTCATTGCCCGAAGCGTCATCTTTTACCATGTATTCGAAGTTGTAGTTTGCGGGCTCCTGGAATTATAAATCAGAATCAGAATAACATTTATTTGCCTACTTTGTGTCTTACAAAATGTCTCTGTGGCCGGTGGGCCATACAGGGGTGAGTCAGCTAACTTATGTCCTAATGGATCTGTGTTTGCTTTGTTCTATTAATTCGTAATATGCGACGCTAAGTAGACATATTACGTGTTTTATTTACGCTGTGTAGTATATTAAATATGTATATTATAGGAACATAATATTTCTTGCTATAATTATTTTATTTTAAGGGGACGCGGGGCTTTTGTTTTGTCTGTAGGCCAACGCTTGTAACCTTTTTTATAAGAGTCGAACAGTATTTCTCCGATTCTGTGATTAACCCTGAGAGGGTTAAAATCCCCATGAGCATGATAGGCATCTTCAGTGGATTCAAGATCTTCTATTTCTAATTTTGAAATATTTTCCAACATTTTGGAGTTAAGGTCCTGGGCGCGTAGGTGCCAAGCTTCTATGTCAGCCATCTCCCAGATCAGTTCCGTAGGTGTTCGTCTTGGAAGTTGTGCGGCATTTTTCAGTGCCATTCTGTATTGACGTTCGATTTTGGTGAGGTTGGATTCGCTGTATCTTGAGAGTAGTTGTACAACTCCGTAGTCCATAAGTGGTAGAAGGCAAGCCTGAATGATTGTCAGTTTTGTTTCCAGTTTTGTCTTCGCATTATATCCTATAATTGGACCGAGGGCTCCTCTGACTTGTTTTAATCTGGTAACAACCTTTTCAGTGTGCTGATTCATCTTCATGTGTTTGTCAAAGATGACACCGAGATATTTGATCTGCTTTTGGTAGTGTAATATCTGTTGTTTCAGTTTCACCGTTGGTCTATATTTTTTCTTCTTTGAGAACATGATGCATTCTGTTTTTTCAATATTACACTTTAACCCCCATCTCGTATAATAGTCAACGATGGCCTCAGCTGCCCATTCGGCACGGATTGTCGCGTGTTCTGGGTTCGGGGCTCTGTTAAGTATACAGAGATCATCAGCATACTGTGAGAGCTTGAGGCCTTTGATGTGATCTTGTATATTCCAAACATCATGAACGTACAGATTGAAGATTATCGGGCCGAGTATTGAGCCTTGGGGCACCCCGTGGGGAACCGGTTTATCTTTGGTCGTCGTAGTTCTGAATCTACCTCTCAAGTTTCTACCTTCGAGATAGTTTTCAATTATTTTAATGATATTGTTTGAATTATAAATATTAGATTTTAGAGTTTACATTCATACATAACCTCACGCTTGTCTCCCATGGGGTTAGGCAAAATTATGGGCAGAAATATTAATAGCAGAAAGTTGTATGAGAGCATACACAACGCTACACTAAGCCAAACTGATTTATATCGAAATAAAACAGAAGTTATCAAGAGGAGACCAAACAGTATGGCTATACCCGTCGCGGAGAACCTAACGGGTAACCGGGGCTCCGGCTCGACGTGCAGGAGAAGGAACGGGGTGGTTTTTAGTCAGTAAGAGCCTGACACTCCCTCCCGCCTCACCCAGGCGGGAGCAGTCATCCGATGATTTTCCCCCCTTAAAAAAAAAGTATGGCTATACCTAAGTAAATTGTATAAAAATAACAATTCATACAATAGTAGGTACTAGATTTTCCCTGCTTTCTGGTGACGTCTATAGCATCCAAAAATTAAAACGTAAATTCTAAGGGTTTTGCTACGATATTCGATTTCAACGCATAAGATAACTTACCCCGTTGCTGCCATCGTCAGCACCGTAACCATTGGCACCAGAGCCAGGAGGCAAGTACTGGCGACTCTGTTCCTGACCTCTGTAGGACTGACCACCGAAGGAACCGCCTTGGGAGTGACCTGGTAATCAAAGATAAACACATAAGTGTATATTTTCTTCTGGTTCCTGCAATTCCTGTAAGACAGTAGTGCAGTATTTTTTTTAAGATAGGTATCATGTTTTGACTGTTATGGTGCGCCATGATAGAGGCTTATTTTATGTCCAGTAGTGAAGTTGGGTAATAAGAGCTATCGTATAGTCCCATGTAAAATCTCTAATAAGTGAGTCTAGGCTAATGAAAAGTCATTTTTAATGCAGCAATTTACCACCAGCACCGCCAAATCCAGGAGCACCATATTGCTGCGAAGGAGCATTGGCTGATGGAGCACCATACTGGGAAGAAGGAGATCCAAACTGGGCAGACGGAGCTCCGTATTGAGTTGAAGGAGATCCGAATTGGGCAGATGGGGCACCGTACTGGGTCGAAGGAGATCCGAATTGGGCAGATTGTGATCCAAATTGAGCCGATGGAGCTGCATACTGCGATGATGGCTGGTTTCCTTGTCCAGGGGCACCGTATTGGGTGGATGGAGCGTTGAATTGGCCTTGGCCTGAGCGAGGGGCACCGTACTGAGACGAAGGGCGACGACCACCAGCGCGGGATGGGCCACGGCTTCTGAAAGGTAAGATTAATACATTAGCTTTGAAAGTTTTGAGAGAAATTAATGAAAGAATACCCTTTTTGACGATGCAGTTACTTAAACTGTCAAACACCAAGCGGTCACCGGTGACCGCAACCTATTGTTCTATAATTGTGTCGACAAAACCGCTACTCGACGAGTAAATGAGAATTAAATAAGTAGTGGTGTGAAGTATTCTTTGATTTAACTAGGAGTCGATGTTAAGTTTTATTACTTGGCTGTCGCAACAATTACTCTAACACTGTAGATACAGCAAAATAACTTATACCTCTAGATGAAGGTTCTCAATACGAGCTTTCTTTAATATTACTTGCATCATAGTTGGGTTTGATATAATAGGGTAATTTCCTAAATTTTATTTTAATGTCCGTCTGGTACTTTAATTTATAACTTTAGACACGTATTTTTTCTTTTCACACAAAATTAAATACTTTCGACGATATATTAATTTGAAATATCATATCACATTATTTTTGTAGCACGTTATGACGTAACGACCTCCCACACCTAAACTTAGCGCCATTTTATCTAAGTATTGCAACTTAATACGAGAAAAGAAAAAAATACGTGTCTAATATTTTTTCATTATCTAACTGACGGACTAATTAGATTTTTAATTTTGATACTTTGGGAACTACCCAATTATGGTAACTTTAAGATAGTAATAAGACGTATGATGGTATCCTGGCTTACCTGAACACAGCATCAGTCTGTCTCTGGAAGCCTGCCCCGGGGGCTCCGTATAACGCCGAGGGTGCTCCGCCCCCTGACTGTGGCGGCAGGTATCTATTGTCCACTGGAGGCTCTGCTAAGCACACCACCGCTAACGCACTGATGAGGAGAAGCTGAAAATAACGTCAAATTTGTTAATACACATACCTAAGTAAGGTAAACGGTAAGATCACTGTCCATTTTATACATTTTTTTCTTTTTTTAAAACGTTGCCCCACACCGCAGCCCCTTGCCCAGCCACCGCACCAACCGTGTAGTCGGTAGGTATATAGATTTGAATATCATAAAATAAATATAACCTATCATTGTATTTTATCTTTTTTTTATTTTTCTTTTTTTGCTAAAACTGATTGAAATTGTGCCTCTACACGACAAGTAAAGTTTCAATTTCAATATTTCCATGCCTATACAAGGGAGATTTTTAACAATATCTAATATTCCCCCGATTTGGGAATCAAACCCATCCAGGGTTTACTGGGTATAGTCTCGTTTGCAACTTGTCCTACGAGATAATCTGATGCAGATTAGCAATTCACAATAGGTAGATAAACATATAATTATATTGATACATGAATTTTATTTTAACTTACCTTCATATTATGAGGTATTTCGGAGATTTCTTACAAAATGATTTGTAACCTGAAAAAAATGTTTAATTTTGAAAATGATACAAAACATTGAGGTTTTAATTCATCGTTCACAATTGAGGGTCAGCCATATTTGTTTGACCCGAGCGTACGGTGTTCGTCGTGTTCCGCGCGCGCCTCAAAGAGCCATCAGACCACCATGGATGGGGCCCAATAGGGCTGATGCCGATACGGAGCTGCGGAGAACTTAACGGGTTACCGGGGCTCCGGCTCGACGTGCAGGAGTAGGAACGGCGTGGTTTTTAGTCAGTAAGAGTCTGACACTCCCTCCCGCCTCACCCAGGCGGGAGAAGTTCCATGATTTCCCCCCTTTAAAAAAAGCCGTATTTGTTTGCAAATTCACTATTCAGATAAAGATAAAGATTTCATGTTATTGCGGATAATTTTAAAAACCCAATGATCGTCTCTGGAACCATACCCGAGATTATTTACTCGGCATTCACGCTGTGAAACTGGTTCATACATGGTTTAAAAATTCAGTTAATACTACAAAAAATTGCTATCGTTCGACTGTACTTTTGTAGTCTTTTTTGAAGTCGATTTTCCCGGATTTTCTTTTTTCTTTCACATAGAAAGTAGGTAATATGTTTTAGGTATTACTTAAAAATAACTATTACTTAATTCATGTACTTATTTAAAGAAAAAGTCCAAACCTTTACAACACTTCACTTTCAATCAATCAACCAAAAAACCGGTAAACGTTTTTCCAATATCAAAAATTCAAATTTTCCGAACACCACACGTTTCACCGAAGATGCCCGAATGATGTACGAATCGATTCCCGACCGTTTATATAGCATTATACCAGTGATTACTTATTACATATATTACGAGTACATACGTAGGTTAATGTGTGTATGTGTGTGTAGAGATTGGCGCATCTGCTTAACGATACGGCTAGAATGTTGCTCTACTTAATTTAATTTACTTTAGTTTGAAGGTCAATGTTATAGTGTTTCGAACAATATGGGTCTGAGATTACCTTGGTGGTAATGCTCAAAGTTGTTTGTAAGGTCTCAAGTTTGATTCTCCGGTTGAGTGACAAGTTTTGTTCATGACATTGATGTTGTTATAGCTTTTAGGGATTTAAGTGATTTGATTAATTATGCAGTTAGACATCTCATTGTAATTTGTAACTGTAATACCTAGTTACTGCAATTGAAGAGTGTCTTGAGGTCTTACCAGTTCGTTTATCGAGTTAATTCTGATAATCCTTACTTAAGGGGGAACTTCTAATGACTATCCCTCCTTGGGTGAGACGAGAGAGAGTGTCAAACTCTTACCGTCTAAAAATCACCCCTTCCGACTCCTGCTTAAAATTTTCATTCATGTTTTTGTTTCTCAGTAATAAAATCAAAAATCTTATTATATTTAGTTAATTATTAAAAGTGCAAAGTATTTAACTGCTCAATCCCAAGCAGACACCGGTGACCGCTCCCCACTAACTCTATTATAGACCTTATTTCCGATGTATAGAAACCACTTTTGTATGAATAAATTTTCGGTACGATGTATCAACGTACCTATAAATCTATATATCCTTTGAAGACATATTATAATACTTGTGATGATGTTCTAACATAAATAACACATAACATAACATCACGCCTTTTATCCCTGAAGTGGTAGGCACAGGCGCACATTACGGCACTTACTGCCACTACAATATAACACCCATTTTTCACTATTTATGTTATGAGTCCTATGTAATCAGGGGTGAGTTTATTACCATATATCAGACACTATTCCAGACTCTGTGCTACTACTCAGATTTTTTTAAACCCTTAATACTTTGGCCCCTGGCCCAGCAATCGCACTTAGGACCACTCAGCCACCAAGGCAGCATAAATGATTACTCTTAATTTCAAACAGAGCATTAGTCAAGCCGTTCCGCCTACATTCCCCTAAAACCTATAAACTTAGGTACTCTACTTAAGTCTTAGCTAAAACACTGATAATTTAAGTCCATAGGTATTACCTAGACTAGGCTATATATGTCTATGTCTAATATAATAGCTTCATCATTTTATCATCAACAGCCCATCTGTAGATGACGAGAATCTTGTCGGTTGCTGGGTCTCGGGCTCGGAGCAAGGGTAAGAACGGGGTAGTTTTTAGTCAGTAAGAGTCTGACACTCTCTCTTTTCTCACTCAAGGCGCGAGATTATCTCACCTCCAGGTTATGGCACCGACTTCGAGCCTATCAGGGGTGGGTACCTTACTACCTTATCAGTAGGTACTAGTAATTTATTGATTTTTAGTTTTTGTTTGTTATTAGTTTTTGGTGTTTTGAAGTCGGTTTTTTAAAACGCAGTTTTTACGCTTGGCAGTCGGGTTGGAGATTGTAATTTAAGAGTTTCAGCAGCTGTAGCCAAATGCTATTTAGCGCTTGTCTACATGTAGAATAGAAAACAAAATTATATGGGATTGACGTAAATTTTGACACTTGTCCGTGTCATCCATCCACATTTAGTTTTCTACTCTCTCTGTAGGCAAGAAAGTGGCCCACGCGTATTCGTCTAGCGTTTATATCATTTAATTAATAGTTATGGGATTCTGATGATCTATTAAGCTAATGATGCACGTTCGAATAGAATCTGAAACAACATGTGTTCCTAAGTATTTATTTCAGGTCAAAGTTCATTTATAATCTTTCAGAGGTTATGAAAATATTAATCATGATATAAAATCTAATCAACAACTATTTATTTATAGTATAGTCTAGGTGTTGCCCACGACCTCGACCTCGTAGAATATGAATTTTAGAACAAATTTTTTGTTTGTATAAATTTTTCAAAATAAAGTAATTCTACGTATGTTACTCCTTAGTACACTGGCTATCTGTTAATAAAAGTGTTGCAAAATGCAGTCCAGGCATTCAAGAGATTGGCCAACACAGACAGACAGACAGACAAAAAGTGCAAAAAATGTTTAGATACGAAGTATAATTCAGTGGTGATGATACTACCTACCCAATTGAGGATCGAACGTCACAGGTAAGTTAGTCCGATCTTTTTATTTATGGAATTTTTTTTTTTCTAAGGGGGGAAAATCATCGAATGTCTGCTCCCGCCTGGGTGAGGCGGGAGGGAGTGTCAGACTCTTACTGACTAAAAACCACCCCGTTCCTTCTCCTGCACGTCGAGCCGGAGCCCCGGTTACCCGTTAGGTTACTTTATTTATGGAATAGGAGGCTAACGAGCAAACGGATCATCTGATGGTAAGCGATCAGCACCGCCCATGGACACCCGCAACACCAGAGGAGTTTGAAAGTCGTATCGGTTCGGAAATATGGTCGGAGACAGATCTATTTAATTTTTTTTTTATATTTGATGGGCCAAAGTTTGAGCACTATTTCGCCTGATGGTAAGCGGTGATGCGGTCTACGATGGAGCACGTCGTCCCATAAGCAACCTATTTGCTCGGGCCTTGAAGATACCCAGTTACCCACAACAGCACAAAGGCGCTGATGTGCTCGATTTTTGAGAAATAGCTTACTCCCTATTATTACATAGGATTCTTAAGGTGTTATTCATTTATTTATTTTATTTTCAGCCATGATCCACTGCTGAGCCTCCCTACCCTTCTTTCACTCCTCTCTATGTAAAGCTTTTTGCAGCCAATCCTTGTCATAGATGTCCAGTTCGTCCCACCATCACCTTTTGGGCCTTTTTCATTCATAAGATATACATATAAATATTATAAGGGTTCTTGAGCTTCCGTAGATGGGGCCCAATAGGGCTGACTTAACGGGTTGCCTGGGCTCTGGCTCGAAGTGCAGGAATAGGAACGGGGTGGTTTTTGTTCAGTAAGAGTCTGACACTCCCTCTTGAATCAGAGAATGCATTGGATGATTTCCCCCCTCAAAAAATGGTTCTTGAGCTTTTCGAAAATGATACTATACTCATAACGTAGTTGCTGAAAATTGTGTGTTACATACAATGGCGTCATGACAAAAATCTCGAAAACATAGCACTTTACTTTCATCTCTGCTCAGCCCTTAAGTTGTCAATCAAAACAAAATCGTTGCTTAGATATTTGTACGCTTTGGAGACAGGTTGCATCTGTCACGATCACCATGAAATTAAGACTACAAAATAACACTAAAACACTCACAGCATTTACAACTTTAACAATATAGGACTAAAGTATGATTTCAAATAACAGGAACAAACTAAAAAGGTCGTAACTCTACTAAAGTTAAGGTCTTAAAATGAACTTTGTGACGAGGGAATAAGATTAGGAGTTGCTGTAGAATTTTGCGTAGGTGTCTCCCTGACCTAAAGTTAACAATTAGAGTACCGGAGTAATTTCGAAATTATTGAAAGTGGTTCTAGTCCTATGGTTTTGAGATCACGATTTTGGTATCCTAAAATGACAGAGGATGACACATTATAACGTCATGCCGTTAAACCTTCGAAGGGATAGGTAGAGGATGCAATGCTGCACCCCGTTTTTAAACGAGTCTCACGTAACTGATAGAGAATGAGTCTATTGCCATATATTGGAAACTAGCTACTTCCGCACGGTTTCACATGCTCTGCTCAGCTCCTATTGGTCGTAGCGTGATGTTTTATAGCCTATAGCCATCCTCGATAAGTGCACTATCCAACGCAAAAAGAATTATTCAAATCAGACTTGTAGTTACGGTGATTAGCGCGTTCAAACAAACAAACACTTCCGCTTTATATAATAGTATAAGAGTAAAAGATATGTTCAGATTTCGTTCTATTATCATCAACAGCCTATAAATGGCCACTGCTGAGCAAAGTCTCTTCTCGCACGGAGAAGGTTTGAGCATTAACCACCACGCTTGCTCAATGCAGGTTGGCTTGTGTATGTGAATTTGTATGTTTGTAAACGCACCCACGACACAGGAGAAAATCCTAGTGTGGGGCAACGACTTTTATTTAATAAAAAATATCTGTAAGAAAAAAAATTGCCGTCAAGAAGGGGGTAAAATTCCATGACCCAAAACAAACAAACAAAATATAGTAAAATAAATGACTGCACGGTTGGTGTGGTGGCTGGGCAACCGGCTGCCATGCAATGTGTCGCGGGTTCGATTCCCGCACGGAACAACACTTTGTGTGATTCACAAATTGTTGTTTCTGGTCTGGGTGTCATTGTGTATGTGAACTTATATGTTTGTAAACGCACCCACGACACAGGAGAAAATCCTAATGTGGGGCAACGTTATTTAAAAAAAAACAAAAACATGCCGTTCAGGTAATCAAAAAATGAAATCATGTGATGTATTATATCAGATGAGTTCACTTTTCAAAACCTAACCTCAGTCTGGGTCAACGAGTTATACCATAAAAAAAATTAAATTAAAAAAGTATTCAATTAACCATTGGAATTACTGCAGTAGCGGTCACGAAGTAGATCGGCACGATTGATTGCGCGTGCGCGGCCGCCGGTAAATCATATCATGCGAATATGTTGCAATGTGTAGATTAGATGGGTTCGTATCCCGGGGCCGTCACTTTTGCCGTGAATGGGCGATTATAGGTTTTGATGGGAGTATCAAAGATAATGTGATGACATAGTGGAATACATTTCTTACCAACGTCACTCTTAAAGAAGGGGTAGGCAGAGGTGCACACTACGGCACTTAATGCCACTGTACAATGTAACACCCACTTTTCACTATTTATGTTATGAGTCCCTTGTAATAGGGGGTGAGCCTATAGACATATACCGGGCACATTTCCAGACTCTGTGCTACTACTGAGAATTTTTAAAAAG